AATTAAAATACTATTTTTAATATGATGTTGAATTTACTTGATATAAAACTTATTAGTTAATGAGATAAATGTCGTGAATCGTTGACTTTGCTAGATCACTCACCCATTTGGATGGTGCTTTAAAACTGCTTTTGCTATCAAGAGTCTGGTAGCACCATGGCAGAAATTTTGTCTTAGCATTCTTTTTCAGTAGGGAACACATTACAAGCAGATTTGCATTTGCAACACAGAACAAATGACAGTTTGCACAAATTCTTTCTTATTGAAAAATTTTACATCTTTGAGAGAGTAAGGCTGTGGGTGAGGAATATCATTCCTGAGTCTGAAAGGGCTTGTATGCCTTGAGGCTTTGCGCCAGTCCTTGAATAGATCCAGCTGCAGCAATGAGCGATACTATCAAGCAGGCCCAGCTCAGAATCTTCAGCCACATCCACCTGAACGAGTACTTGGGCATTTTCGTTTGTGCAATGTGCATCTCGATGGGGAAGTAGACTGTCAGTGGCCAAAACGAGGCTGCTCCGATAAGACCTAAGAAGTCGTTGAAGAAGGGGAATATCATGGCTGTCACGGCGGTCACAATAACGAACGCTGTCCTCCACACCAACCTGAAGAAGTTGATATAGTAGATACCGTAGAATGGAACATCAACAGCATGTTCACTTGTAATGAACTTGTTGTCGGGCCAGTGTCTGGCGCACCACCCCTCGACGAACCCGAACACCGGTTGGCAGAAAACCTGGATGCATGTCAATCAAGTTTAAGCAAAGGTGAATAGCAGTGAACTTGTTTCAGAGGTACATGTTCCAAGGATTGTAGGCATTACCTGGTATGCACCAATAAGATGGACGGCAATGCAGACGTTAGCAAAGTCAATCATCCAAAAGGGTTCATAGAAACCGAACCCGGTCAGGAAATTTCCTGGTGCATCGTTTCCGAATGCTGCATAACCAACAAGGCCGCAAAGGACATAGAACAAAGTAGTTGTTGATACACCAATGCTAGTTGCTCTCTTCATGGACTTGTTCTCTGGTGGGCTCGATTTGATCGTGTCCTGCCATCATAAAGTCCCATATTTCTCAGCTACACCAGCAATAATAAAATGGTTGTTTTACCAACGGAAGTACTAGTTCCTATCTATTGCGACGAATCGAGAGGCTGCACTTCAGAAAAAGGTGATTCGTTTTTAAGATGAGATGAACTAGATTGGACGTCACAATCGGCTGTAATACTGTTCATGGTAATTGATAGCACACTTTTCAAACGATGGTGGGCAAGGAAAGATCGAATTGGAGAGAGTACAAATGGGGCTGCAACTTCTTCCTTTTGGTAAAAAAGCCAACAGAATCAGTGGCCCAAGTTCTGAAAACAATTGTGGTCCACCAGATTTGTGGTCCATTGGAATCTTAGTACCTCGCCGTTCTACAGTAACTCTTCCTGTTCGTTCGACAAACTTCTTTGATTTATTATTATATTTATATTATTATATATTTTTTCCCCCCACAGCCCTCCATCTCTGAACATTCATCCCAACGGCTGAAAAATTCAAGCTGAAAACGTAACTTGCCTTTCCTAATTCCTACTACCACTGGCCCCCACATCTCAGGACCGCCACCGAAAGAAAGGCAGCTTTCATGCTTTAGGTGACCCTTTTTATTACACATTCCAAGCCTCCCTTTGTTTTTTGTTACTATATATCTTTTAAAGATTCTTACACGTATAATTTCACATGCTACGTTCTTGGATACACCCCATAAACTAATCAAAATACCTAACAACAATCCTTTCATTTTTGAAGGGTTGTACTTGTTCTTTATGTGCAGGAATCTGGGGAAAAAAAATTAGGGTAAACAACCACCATTTCATGCCGACATTTAATCAGGCACACATCTCAACCTCCATGCATTCATCACATGATCTTGTTCATTACCATTTTTTCTTGAAGTATATACTGTACTAATGTTATGCATAAACCTACCATGCTACCTACATACCAGCACCATTAATACATATACCTACTTGCATACTATACGTGCAAAAATATATACAAGTGTGTAAAAATATCATATATGTGTGTGTGTGTGTGTGTGTGTGTGTGTGTGTTTAAAGTTAAATAAATTAATTAATGTGTGATGATGGAAGAATACTTGCCTGAATCTCAATGAGGACGGTGGAGTAGGCATAGGCAAACGCAATGTCCCCGATAGCTTGGAATGTCCTCCAAACCTTTTCAGATCCTGACACGTCCACGCCTACTGTCACTCCAGTTAAGCTTGTCCTTACATGTCCCCCACCTTGATGTTAAGTTCACGGAAACAAATTAGGTTTAGATGAAATTCAAGCCACTCAATCGAACTGAATAGACAGAAACGAAATTAATTAATAATTTTGTTTTTTTGTTTATGTGGATATGCGAGCTTTTTCTATCTTTCTCTCTGTTACCTGCAACTTTGGCTATGGAGAGTCCAAGGCCAATGGAAGAATAAGCAAAAGACATGATGGCCGCGAGAATTGAGAGCCATGAAAGCTTGTGGAAGTTTGGTATTTGGCTGAGAACGATCTGGATGCAAGCGAAGATGACCATGAAAGGGTAGTTTGAGGTTTGGCACTTCACATGATGGCCGTGCTTGTGGAAGCAATTTGACCTTTTGACGGCCCTGATAACAATGGAACGGCAGACAACAAAAGAACAATTATAAAATCATCGTCACTGTAAATTTCAATGCATTAGTCAAAAAGAGTAGTTTATAAGTAAGAGAATTTCAAAGTTTCAAAGTCAGTTCTGTTGACTATGCTTACACCATGCTAATTGATGCTGTGATAGTGTAACCAATGGTTACGCCAATAAGATTTCCATACTGAGCCAATCCACATAGCTGGACTTTTCTTCCTCCTGGAAAAGGAAAATGAAAAAAACAGAAGCATTGAATTTGCTGTTTCATTAATCATCCTGTCAAACACAGTTGAATTTTGGATATTGAATAGAAATATCTACATGGGGAAGGAAGTAATTTCTCTATAAAATATATTTTCTTGGAACTTTAAACAAGTTAAAGAGGTAGGAGCATAAATCAGACACCGCAAACAATCACTTATGGTATTAATGTGAAGATGGACTGCTGATATTAGTACCTAAGTAAGCTCTAACAACATCCATGTAGGTGTAGTTTCTCTTTCCATGGACAGGGTCAGGAGCCCTATAGCAATCAGCAAGAAGGCTGGAGGTGAAGTAGGTGATGAAGGAGAAAGCCATAAGAACAGCTGGTCCAGCCACCCATCCCAACTGGGCGATAGCCCATGCAAGAGACAGCACTCCAGAGCCAATTACAGCAGTAATAATATGAGCACTTGCAGTAAGCCAAGTCCCTTCAAATCAAAACCAACGCCACATCAAAGAAAAATTTATAACCCCCATAAAACATTGACAGAGAAAAAAAAATACATGCAAAGAAGGATAATAGGCATTGCGGGGGGGAATAACTACCAGTTCTCTTGACTCGACCATCATCATCCAAGTTCTTCTGGATATCACCATTCTCATAATCTCCAGGGTTTTGCTCAATGAACATGCTGGTCTTTTGCATCTCTCTGGCCATCCCTCTCTCTTTTCTCAAACTCTCTGAACTGTTCAAGCTAAAATAGTTAATGAAGACAAGACAATGTTTTTGTGGGGCAGTAATAAAGAAAGTAGAAAGTTGGAGGCAAAGGTCAAATGGCAGCGTTGGTTTGTGGCAAATGTCGAAACAGGGTAGTCTAGAAATTATGAATGAAGCGCTATGGGAAAAGTATATAGGATAGGAGAGGAAAGGAAAATAAAGCTGGCTTGAGCCTATGAGGAAATGATACAGAGTTTACAGAGGCGCGAGCATATATAGGGCTTGGTTGGAGCGTGGGAGTGGAAATTAACAGGTTTTTGGGCACAATCGATGGCCGTCGTTCGTGCTTTCGGGGTCTTCTCACAACGCGCGGTCCCCACACCTTGGTTTTGGGGAATATGTTTTACATGGTAGCCATCCATTGTGATATTTCGACTTTGACTATGCCACTTCCTTCCCCCTCCTTGCACCTTCCTTTGCTTAGTCGGTTCCCTGCTAATTTTGGGTTTAGAGTTCCATCAACTTTTCCCCAAGACACTGAGGAAGACACGTAATTAGAAATTTGATTGACCCCTCCAGATGCGGCGTTGGCGGGTATCAGATGCAGGCGAAGATCATTTTTATGCTTTAAGTGCTCAAAAGTAATGGTAATGGATGCTTTGATGAGGTTTTTGGTGAATCACGCTACACCTTGACTTCCAAGTGATCTAAAAATGATAATTATAGTAGGTTTCACAATTCGCTTTACGAACCGACTTGTTTTAATAAATTCTAAACATTCCACGACTACAAAGTTTAAGAATTGAATCAATGGTTCATGAAGATTGCAAGAACAAAATAATAATAAAGCTAAACTTATTGAGTTGAACTAGTGATTCCTAGCCAGTGCATCGATTATCACTCTTAATTATTGTACAAGAGAGTCGGCCCCAATGTTGGAGGGAGTAAACGATGTTATCTTTTCATATATCTTGGATCCAATAGAACATTTTTGGCTTTATTTTATATTGGTCTCTTTTCCAAACATGCCAATATAATTAAGTATACACCAAGCCTTTGCGCACATTAGCCATGGAATTTGGCAACCTTATAGCTCAACCGTGAACCGTGCTTTGATAATTATAAGTTCCATGACTTTTGTTCTTTAGATAATGGAGCGGCTTTTAAATTTCATAGGTGACAACACTTTGAACACTCTGGCCTCCCCTTGCATCCCCTACAGTGATAATCTGACTTCTTCCGCAACGGCAGGTTTACAATCATAGTAACTTGTTCTGATATATTGTACAGTACAGCAGTCCTAACTGGTCAATTCCCCTACTCCCTAACCCCGGATAGTTTTTGACTATGAACACATTGGCTCTGGTTTGGGTTTGAAAACTTGGTTAATTTGGGACAACATGCAAACCCAAATGACAGGTTTGATGACTGAATGGGAATTCAACCTTGTACTATGGCACAAAAGGGTCAATAAACATTCATTATCTGAGGACTTGGTCGGTACTTTGGTTTAATTACTTGGCGTATGGTTGTTCTAGATAATCAAAGCTGAAAGGCTAAACGAAAGGATCGAAGAGCAGAAACATCCACGTCGAAGAACCAGGACAAAATAAGACATTAAAAACCATACGCTAGAGACTGTAGGTGAGATTTAATTAACGTGTCGAAATATAGAAAATATTCTGCAAAGGGACAACAATGCTTTCGAAACCAGATATTAAATAAATGATGCGAAATTAATCAGATAATGATAGCCTGTTATTATTGACTCAATGGTTTCCTTGCTTTCTCTCCAAGTTGGCAAGTTAACAGAGGAAAATGCAGAGGAAAATTTGTACTATTGGTTGGAATATGTTACGTGTCACTGGTAGCCGCGTCTTGTTGCTAACCATTTTTGTTCAGATTTGGCCTTGGCCTTGGACAAGATGTGAAGCAGAGGTCTTTTCTTTTGTTTTCTTTCTCCGCCCTTTCTGATTTGTTTTTCGTGTTCACATGTGAGGAACGACTCCTTTATATGGTGTTGCATACGTGAGCATGGGACTTGGAAGTTCAATTATTGAGCAGTTCGTTGAGTGAAATAGAATTTGGATTCACGAGGCTGAGATGGGGTTGACTCGGTTGAGTCATTTCTTTCATCTTGCATTGACTGCTAGAATAGAAACGTGAAGTTTTTTGGTACTTGATCATGGTCATGGGATGTTGGACTTGAACTAAACCTGCCAGGTTCATGTACAAAACATGAGATAAATCCTGGAAAGAGTAAACGATGCATTGATGAAGATTCTGAAAATCAAGAAGCAGAAGTTTGCTTTGTACACTTATCCCTTCTCAGCTTGTTGCTTACCGCCTTTCAGCACTTAAAAGAGTAATAATTGGCATTGTTACATGTCACATTCATTCATCTAATTAACCTGTACTTTCCACGCATAAATGCGAGACTTTTTATGCGCAGGCAAAGTGTCATTATAGTTTAATGGAACAATTATAGACAGACACCTGAATACAACGATATTCCCCAAATTTTCAACATTGACAGCTCTCCAATTGCAAAGAATTGGACTAGAAATGAACGGAAAGTAAACCTCAAAAAAGAAAAATAAGCGAGTCCTGAATAATGAATGAAGAGATAGATGGTAGGGGGTGGAGGGTGTAAAAGATTAGGGGACAAAGAACAATGAATAAGCTTAAAAGGACGCCATGTGTGTAGGACTTCGTCTGGAGCAGCCCACGAGTCCTGTTTTGAGCGTATCTTATCTCCAGCAGCTCATGGCTTTCCTGAATAAAGGATGGCAACTAAAAGAAAAACAAGACAGATGGGTCCCTTTAACTGAGACGTGCCATTCTTGGATTTTGACTGCAACTTTGTTGTGGTCACAAGCCTGCACTCTAACCATTTCTAACCCAGTGGTTAATTACAAAGCTAAAGATTTAACGTAAAAAATGAACTAATTTTCCATGGATTTCCATTCAGAACATCAACTTTTTTTCATTTGTTTTCCTTTTGAATCAATAATATTAGCAAGGGACCACGCTTGGGTAATGACCTGTCTCGACTCTGTTATCAATTTCTCCTTTTTTTTTCCCTTAGTTCACATCTGCTTTATGTCATTCTAAGTGACATTCTAGTCTCCTCAGGTCTAAGTCAATAAAGAGTTTTTAGGACGTCAGAGGTGTGCAATGGTTCAAGGAAGGATTGTCTGGGGTCCATAGATTTGGATCGAGGTCTCGTGATTTATGGTTCAAAATTTTTTAGAATCATATTTTTAGTATGATTAATGATTTTAGACATTTATTAATGATCTCTCTTGGACAGAAAGGTCGAGTTTTGGATTAATTTTAAATTAATAGTTATTTTATATAAAATAAATTGAATAATTTCATATTATAAGATTTTAAGTCTTAAAAAAAAACTATACTTAAGCTCTATTTTCAATTCTAAAAACTTCTAGAAGTAAAGTTTTCTCGTTCGAAACATCTAAATTTGTAATTTTGATTTTCATAACTTATAGGTTACAAAAAATTCGTTTCACTCTCTAAATTTAAATTTTTGAAGTAATTTTGATACTCTTAAGCTCTTCAAGATAAAATTACTCAAGTCAATAACTAGTTCTAATATAATTTATAATTAGGTTAGAAATTTTAGCTAACGATTATCAGATTTAAGGCTAAGTAATGAAGTTAGTGTAAGTATTAATGATTATTGGTGAAGGTTTTGTCTAAAGAACAAGGTATTAACAATAGATTAATTATGGATAAGTGCTCTCGAAGAAGTTGATATTTTGGAGAGCTCGAGTCTTCGTCAAAAGGTGCTAGAGTAAAAGGCACGCTTTGAATAGGTGAGTGTTTATGGTATTTTGAAAGTATTTTGACATATAAATACGAAAGCATGTTTGGAATAGCATTAGGAATGCTTGTGATGAAAACATGAGATTGTGGAATGAATGATGATTGATACCATGTTTTGAATATGGTTTTGGAAGTGTATATGAAATATATGTATACCTATATATGTATAAAACTGATTTTGTGAGAAACAAAACTTTCAATGCTTTTGCTCTTCAAAATGTGAATCGAGTTTGAAATTGTGATTGATGTATGAGATACATGCCTTAGCATGTTTTGAGAACTTGATAATTGAAATTACTTGCTCATAGTATGTTTTGAATTTTTTATTATTTGGCTTGTGAGTTAGAATTTGAATTGTAATTAGAATCACATGCCTCTTAGTATGTTTGGAATGATTATCTTGTGATTTAGTCACACTATGTTATACTACGTGACATAACCTTGAGTTAGGATTGTTTTTCATTTGCAGAGATAACTTTTTATTTTGAAAATGCACCAATAGATTTTGAGTTCGTTCATGATTAGTTTATCTCTCTTAACAACCGGGAGGTTTATAGGACTATGATGTGTCCCAAGGTCTAAGAATTGTGTGGATGTTTGAGCAATGATTTGAGGAAATGTGCATATTTGATATAAATTATGTTTGCAAATACTCTTTTGTGTAGTTTGTTCTCCCTCCCCTTTTCCGCTCATTGAGATTTTATATCTCACCACACATAAATTATATTTTATTTCAGATCAATAGATTTTGAATTGGCATCCATGGAGAGTCACTCTTTGATAGGTGATTGTCGGGGCACTCAGTTGGTTAAGGTTTTTGTTCCTATATTACTTCATTGATCGAGTCATCAATTGTTGATTTTTCATATGCTTGATACAATGTTTAATGTTTGGCCAATGTAAGGCTTGAGATCGTGTTTAAGTTTCATATTTACAAGTTATAATGATAGTTATGTACAATCAAAGTGGATTGTTTTGAAATGTTGAATATTACTTTTGAAGTATATATATTTAATTTAATTATATATGCGCCTTGTGGGAGTGTATTGAATGCCGGGAAATGGTTCAAAGATTAACTAATCAGGTACTTCATGAATAATTGATTAATAAAACTAAAGACTTAAAGTAAAAAAAAAAAAGAAGAACTTTTCATGTGTTTTTCCTCAAAACATTAACTTTTTTTTATTTGGGTAATTTTTTTAATCAATAATATTAGCAACGGACCACGTTTGGGGAATGACCTACATGTCTGAATTATGTTATCAACCTTTCCTTTTTTTTTTTGTCATAATTCAAATATGCTTTATGCCATTCTAACTATCAATCTATTGCACGTTTGATTTTCATTTAAAGACAGCTTGGCATCCTGGTGCCAAGGGAGGGATACCCTCTTTTTACCCCGATTGTCACTGGCCCC